TTAATTTTTAACATTGAAAAAATTTTTAATTTTTTTTTTCTTAAAAAAAAAAAAAAATAAATTATAATACAAATGATAATAATTAAATAATTAAATCAAAATTGAAAGTAACCATATTAAAAACATTTATTTTGAGCACTCTAGACAAATTTTAACCACATTCTCCTATCACTTTTTATATGTAAATAATATTACTAACGTATTCGATTCAAAAAACCTAAGATTACATATGTAATTTACATCTTTTAGGCAAAAATTGATCCTTTTTATTCACACGTCCTTTTATTTCTCAAATTTCTCTCTTAAATCATTTTTTAAATATAATATTGGTTTTAATTTATTGGCTTTAATTTAATATTATATACAATATATATGTATATAATTATATTTTTAAAAGCTTAAAAATTAACAAGAAAATGATAGAGGAAAGTTGCAAATAAAAAGTTTATTAAAAATATTACTTCCATATTAAAAAGCTTTTGTATATATAATCGTATGAAAACCATTTTACAATTAGAATATCACAGCCGAAAATATGTGCTGGAACAGTACTTAAGATCATTTAGCCATTTATAACATTTGAACTCTGATCGTGCAGTAAACTCATATTGAGCAGAACTCTCGAGTGGCATTGCAATAAGCTGTCATTATACGTTATTGCTCTTGTCATCCTATTGTACCTATTACTTGCGACGGTTATACATCTCAATTCTTACTTTGATTTTATTGAAATAATGTTTCGCAATATTCTTTTAAGCAGTTTATATGATGCCCTAATATATATTCTACGTTAAATACGAAATAATCTTCAATAGGATACTGCCGAAAAGGGAAGCGACAATTATCTTATCAATAACATGACTGTGAGAGAAAGAATGTCAGAAAAATATGTATCACTGATTAATTAAATTTAAATAGTATTCCTAAAATAAAAAACCTTTTTATATTGTAAAAAAACATGTACAATTAAATTCACATACTTTGTTTAAATATTGCTTATGCTTTTCTTGTTACAATAATAATATAGAAATAAATATACATTATATATATATAAAACAAAATTCTCTTTTTCTTTTATTTATTATTGACATATTTACATATATATATAAAGTTTTAAAAATAAATATTTTTAAAACTTTTTACTGAGAGACTATAAAAATATAACTAAAATATTATTAACAAAATTGAATAATTAAAAATAAATAAGATGTTGACATATGCCTAAGATTGCAAAAGATCAATGTTTTAATCGCGAGATAAGAATTTCCTTTGTAAATAATTTGCAGCGTTCACATTAGCGGATTAAAAATTTTTGCTCATCAGATATTAGCAAAAACGTGAATATTCCTGCAATTAGACAAGGCTAATTGCGCGATCATATAAATACGAAGAAACTGACGTAATGGTACAGGTGTCCTTTGCTCTCATATAAGTGTATAGCCCGACACTTTGCATACGCCAGACTACATAAGAATGCAATGCACATGTCAATACATTTCGAGAGAGTGCAATAGATATTTTTTTTGTTTTTCACACTATGTATAATACTTCGTCGCGACATAAAATATGTAAGAATTATGTAGCAGATATATGTACGAGAGAACGGAAGCGTGTAAAATGTCGATCGCGTGTGTGAGAGGAGGAGACGAAAATTAGGAGTGAGACGTCGAGAGCTGCAGCGAGTGAGAGAAAATGATAAATGACAGGCAGGAAGGAAACGAGAAAAAAAAGACTGTGCTGACGAGTATAACATGATTATATCGCAGGATCGAGCAGAATAATAAGCGCGTGGGGAGAGGAAACAGAACGGGATAAGAAAAATCGTGACGGCGATGAGGTCACGTACGTAGGGATGCATTCTCTCATGACATAACCTAAATTCGCTGGTGAAACGTTCCGCGGTAAAATATATTCGTCTATTAGAAAGGGAGGGACGGAGGACAGGAAAGGAGGGAAAAATAGGACATAATAGCCGACACACTCACCCAGAAGTAGTCAACAAAGTCCACGGTCATATTGGAACCGCGATCAGACCATCATACTATCACGTTTTGGCTCGCACGTCACTTCGCGACGATGATGCCGATCGCAACAGTGTTCACTACGATCGGTACACTTTACGATTATGCCACGGAAATATGTAATATTTCGATTCGCGCTGAACGGCGGCGATAATTCGTTTCAACCCTGATGTTTTCCTGCCACCCAAGAGTCGCGAGTGGAACAAGCGCGCTCGAGCCTCGGAGCCTAGCGCGGAGATACGGGTCAACTTGTTTCGACTACCCTTTCTCTTTCTCATGCTCCGTTTTTCTTCTTTTCTCTCGCGCAGTTGCGCAACTATATTCGCTTTCGACACCGAGCGAACGACCAATAGGAACATAGCGATTGGCGCGCCCGTATCAAGGATCGAGTTTCCGAACTATAATGAATTTAATCATAGACTTATAAAATCATAGACATGTAAAATATATAGACGTAAAATCCGTTGTGCGCTAACGCACAAGAAAATATAACAGCCAAAAAAAGAATAAGCATAGTTGAAAACAACAGAAATGCAGTTTTAATATGTATGTAAAATGTGTGTATTTTTACTATTAAGGTTTAAATTATATTAATTTGTTTTATTAAATTTACATTAATTCATTTTAATAATGATTATTTAAATGGCAAAATTTTTGAGATAATTATAAAAATTATATAAATTTTACATTTAGTAAATAAGAAAAGTAACAGAGTAAAGTTAAAATAATAAAAGGGTAGTAAAAATATATTTAAATTAATAAAAATTTTCTTATATTTCTATATTTCTTTAATGTATTTGCAGGACATATATAAATAGGATATAGGATATGTTTAATAGAGTAAAGTATTAATACTGATTAAGAGCAGAGTTCTTATAAGATAAAAATAGGAGATAATATAAGGCGACTTCAAGTTTATTAGAAATAAAACGGAATAACTAATAATATATATAGAAAAATTATCATTCATAGGTTGAATATAATAATTGAATTCGTAATTGAATATGAATTGTATAAATATATTGAATTCTGTATATAATTTTATAAGATTTGCTGATGTAAACTATCAGTCTGCAAAAATATAGGGGTATTCAAGATTAATGATAGAAAAAATCAAGATAAAAATTCTGAATTCTAGAATATCTTTAATTAAAATAAATATGGAAAGGAATTTTATTTAAATTTCTGTTGGTTCTTATGACTATAATGATCTTGATTGATGAAGAAAAAATAAATGTAATATTATTGTTAGAATGATAATAAATGATAAAATAAAATTAATTGAATAAAATCAACTTAATATTGCATTGAAAATCCTTTTCAAATTCATTCAACTATTAGGTTACCAATATATGGGATCGTTGATACTAAATTGATAATTACAGAGAATGCGCAGAGTAAAATGATCGAATCGCAGAATCGAGTCATTAACTACATTAAATTATACAATATTATTAAATCGATTGAGGTGTCACGAAGCAGCGACCGTGATGTTATTTCTCTCGGAATGGGATGATCGCATCCACGTTGCCTTTATTAAATCGGCGCCTTTTTCGCCGATCATGATAACGGGCGCATTTATGTTGCCGCTGGTGACAGTTGGCATGATTGACGCGTCGATAACTCGTAGACCCTCGATTCCATAAACCCTGAGCTCTGGATCCACGACCGCCATGGAGTCACTGGGAGGGCCCATCTTAGCACTGCAACTCATATGGTATATAGACAAAGTATAAATCCGCAGAATGCATGTCCAGTATTCGTCAGTGTAAAGTGAAAAATGCTTGCAGTCGGGTACTGGTTTGCTATGAAATCTAGAGCCGAATTTCTTCATAGTTCTCGTTTCGCCGAAGGCGACTGCCGCTTTCACACCTTCGCGAAGTACTGCCACATCTTCTGGATGAGTGAGGTAATTATGATAGAGTAGAGGGTAATCCAAAGGATTTTTGGATTTCAGTCTAATATAGCCACGCGACTTAGGCCTGAGTATCATTGGAAACACTCCAAAGACATCGTGGTTGTTGATTTTACCGAACACTTCGTTGTAAAATTCGTCTGTTAAACCATGAGCATCTTTTGCATTTTTGCCAGCGGAGCTGATTCCCGAAGACGTTATCATGAACTCAATATCGGGCCAGTCGTCGGTCTGATTGGCATATTTGGTAGAAATAAAACCAACCGCTTCGAGACCGATACTGGACGTCAATGGGCCATCCTCAGTGATAGCGTATTTCAGTGCCGAGGTGACAGTTACCATTCGATTCATTACAATACCAACCTCATAGTCAATTGGAAAAACGAGTCCTCCGATTGCTATGTGATCCTGTAGATTCTGTCCGACTCCGGGCGAATTATGAATTACGGGAATTCCTAGTTGCTCCAGATGGGTACTTGGTCCTACACCCGAAAGCATTAATAATTGTGGACTATTGATAGCGCCGGCGGAGAGAATCACCTCTTTTTTGGCAAACACCACCTCTTTATGACCATTTCTGATGAATTCTACTCCATATGCTTTCTTGCTTTGCGGATCTATCAGCACCCGAGTTACGTGGCTCAACGTGGAGAGATGGAAATTTTTTCTCAGTTGAATGGGTCGTATGAATGCCTTGGCAGTGCTACATCTTGCACCCCGTCGCATTGTAAATTGAAACAACGAAAAACCGGTTTGCTGTTCGCCATTGATGTCACGAATATCGTAACCCATTTCTTCGCCAGCCTGAAGAAATGCTATGCCCAATGGACTGACATAAGGGCTTTCCTGTACAGTTAGATATCCTCCTGGGAAATCAAATATAATAAAAATAAAATAATAAAAAATATTTATCATGTTTCATACAGTATACATACACAGTAATTGAAACATTAATACAAACCTGTGCCATGATATTTTGTATTGCGTGCCAAATATGGATTTCTTTGATCCTGTGATTTTTTGAAATATGGAAGAACATCTTCATATCCCCAACCAGGATTTCCGAAACTTTCCCATTGATCAAAATCACGTCGATTGCCGCGAATGTACAGCATTGTATTTAAAGCACTAGACCCTCCAAGGACCTAAAGTGTTAATTAGTTGACTGTGAAAATTGTGTAAAATAGAATATAACATAATCATAAAAAGTAGTAAAATAGAAAAATATAATTATAGAACAAATGCATTAAATAACCAAATTTTTCGATACGATAATTTTTTTCGATGTATATATACAATGTTTTCAATTTTATTAGGTAAGCAAATTAATTTGGGGAATGCTTTTTTTAACTAAAAATTTATTTATTGATAGAAAGAACACAATTTTAATTATCGAAATACTTTTTGTAATTTCCAATGATTATATCTCATTTTTCTGGTAGTTGCTTAATATTTCAACGCAAAAACAAATTGACTTTGAATTAATAAAATTATCAATGCATTTTCGAATACATAGTTTATTGTTTAAAATGTTTATTAGTCAAGTGATGTCAAAATATGTTGCAGCGAATAAAATAGATGAAAATCTGGAGCGCTAAGATTTGGTGAATAAACCGAGGGCGATAGAATTTCCCAGGATAACATAAAAATTGTCTTTTTTGTCCTCTTTGCTATATGTGGCCTAATGGTAACATGAAGCAAAATGATTCTTTTGCCGGTATATGATTCCTTATATTTCAATTCGCCATTCATAAATTGATAAGTTATTATTAGTAGCGAACTGCTATAACGGCTATCTCGGAATTAACAGCTCTTAATAGAGTTCTAATATCTTTTATATTCCATCGAACGCAAAGCAATGTACTTTGTTCTTTGCATAAATACTGGGTTTTGTATGCGTATAAAAATAAAAATCTATTTATTTAAATTAAAGTTATAGGTAATTTTATCGACCGCTTGATAGAATGTCCCTGATAACTTGACAATGAAGTAACACAGAGACTTGATATGATGCACAATTATTCGTGTTATCAAATACTACTTTCTGCCACAAGCTCAGCTTAAATTCATCGACATCAATAAAAAAGAGTTGCTTAATTAGCATGAAACGTCTCATAATTATTGAATATACAAAGTACTGATTTTTAAATAATTTTACTTTTAATACTTTTAGATGCTACTTTGGTTCTCTCTCTTTCTCGCGCGTTTTAACTTGATTATATTTCCTACCTTGCCTCTGGTCCAACAGCATCGATGATCGACCATAGCTTGGCAAGCCGTGTGTTGCGGTTGCGGGCGATATTGCCAGTCCATTTTACTTTTATGCAAGAACAGAGACAGTATTGGCACGTCAGTTATCTCAGTCTCGTGGCCTCCGGCCTCCAGTAATAGCACATTCCATTCGGGATTTTCGGTCAACCTGTTAACGACCACGTTGCCGGCCGAACCACCGCCGATTACAACAAAGTCATAGCTTTTATTCAACTCCTTTGTCACGCGTGGATGATTCTCCGGATCTATGAGATCGTAATTAAAGTACGCGAGCGCCGTAATCAGTGCTGGGATTATAGTAATCTTGCCAACGCCAAAGAAAACAGTGGCAATTTTTATAGAGGCACCGATTATTGTCGCGACGCCCATCTTTCGTACTTTTGATTAATCCTTTTATTGATCCTGTGTGTATTTTTTAAACAAAAGTTCATGAATACTTTATGTTTCTTCTTTCACTGTTAAATTTTTGTGATTTCACTTCATAGAACATGTCTTTGATACACCGGATAAAATCTGTTTTTGTTAGGGCTATATTTTGCGTTTTTTTATTGTAAGCTTCGTGCATTATTTCATGATTCGTTCGTTGCAACTACACGACTGCTTATTCGTGAGAAAATGCAGAATGAAATAAACAATGCAGACTATCACAAGTCACCGTAGTCTACTCGAGGTATTATCAAGTTGGATAGATTACTGGAACATTTTATTTTGAGATTTTATGCAGAAATCTAAAAATAAGAAATAAATATTTGTTTTATTTATTAGAACATTTAATAATTTATTTTTAAGTAAAATATTATAAAGCGCGCGCTACACGTACGTCATTTATTTATTTTTTGTGCCATGTATTATTTAATAAACTATACTCGAAAAATCCTAAATTTAAAAAAGAAATATCTTCTCAAAATATGAAAATTTGACGTAAAATAATAATATTAAATTAATTTATACAAATAGTTTCTAGATCAAACTGAGAGAAATTATATTATTTCAATGAATATTAGACTTTATATGACAATATATGAAGTAGGCAATTAGTTTATTTTTTGATTTACGTAATTCTATTTCGAAACCATTAGATATACTACTCTCACAAAAGTGAAATCAGATGCAAAAATTGGGTAATATCTCAACGATATTTGCATAATACATTAAGCTATCTTTGAGACGACATTCGTATAATACATCTAACATTGCCTTGAGAGGTTTTCAAGTAAATAATCTCATTGTCAGTAAATTATATGTGTAAATCGAATTTGTGCGGAAGGCTGATACGCAGCTCGAGTAATCCAAGGAGAAAATCATGTTTTTCCAACTGTTGTACCCTTTAGAATATATTATAGTAAATATATAATAAGTAAATATATATATATATATATATATATATATATATATATATGTGTGTGTGTGCATGTGTGTGAGAGAGAGAAAGTCCATGTTGCACGCGAAGGTCGTTAAGATAGCTTGCAGGCCGAGATATTGCGTTACTTTTTCCAAACTCGATAAAAGCTATTGTCGACGGCGGCGGCTTTGAAACCGGCGAGATTGCTGCAACGATGACTCCAGCCAAATGACACTTTTATCGAATTTCTTCGCGTCCCGTGGACATGCGAACACGTCTCGGACCGCATGTTGCGCGGACAACGATGAATTATGAAAGAGAGGAAGAGAGAGAAAGAGAGAAGAGAGGGACAGCTTCGTATTCAACAATGCATTATTGCATCCCTAAGCTGGGTTTTTGGGCCTCTCCATTACACGCATCGTATTCCAATATTAATTACCGTCGGCCAATCAATCTAAACCAAGTCAATGATCAATTAATACTATCGATGCGCGATGGTCCGTGCATTTATTTAGCAAGATAAATTCTGATAATTATCACGGCTTGCGTGACGACGCAACCGCGTTCAACGATTTATCACCAATTCATTATTTTTCGTTTTAATCATGATTTATCGAATACATGCAGACACATAATTTGAACATCTTTTTAAAGGAGTGGTATTTTACAATCGTATTATGAAACTGATGCTTTATACGCAGGAATAGATATCGCATTATTTGATCAGGAGACGTGCAAGCGAGATAGCACGTGTGGCGTACGTGCAAGCGAGATAGCACGTGTGACGTACGTGCAAGCGAGATAGCACGAACGGCGTGCGTGCGAGCGAGATAGCACGTGTGGCGTACGTGCAAGCGAGATAGCACGAGCGGCGTACGTGCAAGCGAGATAGCACGAGTAGCGTACGTGCAAGCGAGATGGCACGGGTGGCGCATGCGCAATCAGGATAGGTATAGCAAGAAGAGACAGTGAGGCACATATATATATATATATATATATATATTTACAAAATAAAAGAAAAGATGAAATGATATAGTCTCATAGTTGTATTATGTATTATTGTACTTTGTGATATCAATTTACAGGCAATACTTATGACTTATTATTAACAAAAGTGATAATAGTGAAATCGTCATTGTTCATTCAAAATGACTCATCCCTCGTAAAAAAAAAAATATAAAATAACATTACGCTTCAACAAAGCTATTTTATCGGAAGAAGAGTTCAACGAAATTAGTCGGCATATGTATTGCGTAAAACGCAATTTATTTCAAATGTTGTATATATTAACTTGAAAATGCTATTATACTATGTTATATTAAATGTATTTTGCATAATCGTATAATATATATGCATAGAAAAATTAACCACTAATGCATTTAATGTAAAGAATGTTATATTGTCACTTTCTTCGTATTAAATGCATGATTGGTTGATTTTTCTCTATATGCAAATTTGTCTGTTTAGCGAAGAATATTGGAAATTAGTGTAATTTATTTTTTAATCTTTTGCAGAAGTAAAGTTAGACACTCGTCTTTTTAATTCCAAATAATTTGTAAAAGTATTATACAAAACTTAAAAAGAGTATAAAATTACATTGAATATTTCAAAATTAACTCAATTTTCTAATATCATTAGTTTGATAGAAAAAGTAGGTTTAACAAATAAAATATCCGTGAAATTAATACTTTCTGTGCTTAACAACTTTTTGGACGAACATTATTATAAAAATAATATTATAATAATGTTAAATTATATAATGTCAGAAGCGAGAAATATCATGTGAATCTTTTTCTTGCAAAATACATTGCAATAAATAAGTTTTTTTTTATATACCATTATTTGCTGATATTTGATACTATGGATTTATAATATATAACAAAAATTCTTCTTTTTCGTGTATACTGCAGTAATAAATGTAGGCATAACTCATCTTACATTTGATAGCAGCTAAAAGTAGACTTTATAACAATTGATCAAGATTTACAACTATTTATTAATTCACGAATAAAAAAAAATAGTTTTCAATATATTTTACCAATCTGTATTATCGAATGTGGACTATAGGATACGAAAAAATTAATTTATTTTGCAAGAAAACTTATTTGATTTTCTCATAATGGTTCAATATTTCATCAGCGAGAGATCAAGAGTCTTAATTGCTTTCCGATCAGCTCGGTTGAAATCGCGTGATCCAACATATTTTAAATAATATTTCATTATTTATTTATACACAATTTATGAAAGCACAGTAATACTATAATAAAAGTCGATTAATTTCTTTTTTGCAATACAAGTAGCATCGTGTTGCTAATTAATATTGCAATAAAAGAACTAAAAAATAAAATATTTTATAAAAAGTAAAGCATACATACACACCACATATGATGTCTCACTTGACATCGGAAATATTAGAAGCTATTGCACGATTAGGAGCTTCGCTGTGGCAGAGAAAGTGAAAGACTGAAACATCCCAGACTTCATGTTGAACATAAACCATGCGATTACCACCACTTTAACATACAACTTTTCTCGCATCCTTGTTTCTTGAAAATTTATGACATAAAATAATATGGGATAATAATTATCAAGGCATATCCGTTGTGCAACATTTATTACAATCTTGATACACCATAATCACACTAATACTAAGAAGACATGGCCTTCATTATACAAAAAAGATATTGTTTTAAGTGCAAATAATGTTTATATATATATATATATA